CCCCCCCCCCCCCCCCCCCCCCCTCAGGAGCCCAGATACAGTAGACTGTGATCAGACTCCAGACTCCAGCACCCCAGCATATTCTGCTCCCCTGCTATATTTTGGTTATGACTTTAGATTGTTATACATCTGTTTATTTCTTTTCTTACTTACTCACTTACATATTGACATCCATCCCAACATTATGGATGATGTGACTAGATGCTACTACGGGTAGGTGAGACGTATGATCAAATTTACCTCCAAACTACTTCTCTTACTATAACACTCGGACTCAAGTCACAAGTAGGAAATTGCAAGTTAAGCTACACGTGATTCAGATCTCTGAATGCTGTCCATTAAAATTACATTTTCACGTCATCAATTTATACGGTCAAAACTTGAATGTCTTCACTTTAAACTCCAAGTCAAAGCTGCTGTGTCCTTACTACGAGTCTAAAGTGTGACTCCTACTCCATCTGACCTTTGACTTCTTCCTCAGGCCGCAGAGCGCACATGGAGCCGTCCGCCCTCTCGCTGCCGTGTAGACATTCCTGACAGCGTCTCCCCTCTCTGTCTGAGGCTTCTCTCCAGACAGCTGGGTCTAAAGCAACATGATCCCTGCTCAGCGGTGCAGTCCCTGCCAACACTTTGTGTGTATATATACAGCATGTGTGTGTGAGGTTGTGCATATTCAATACACACACATGTCTTAGATATGAGAGGGGCCACATTGGTAAGATTCTCATCGAAAAACAGGCCGTCAAAGAGTGATTTGGGGAAATACCGCCTTACTCTGACATATGTTGAGATTGCTTAAAATGTTGCAGACTTTTTTTTCTATATTTCTATCTTAGTAGTGGATGTGGTCTGGACATAGAAAGCTATTAGGTTTCATCACTAACTGAAGATGACGAGTCACAGCTCTGATGACGAGAGGTTTTGAAAGTTGTTCAGTCCCAGTGTGTATGTGACACTGTAGTTGTGCCCTAGCTTCTGTGTAGTAGAGGTGGGTTACAGGTTTGTGACTGTCACAGCCCGAGAGTGGGCAGATATGAGAGCTGAAGACGCGGATATGAGGAGTTCTTTCCCTGTGACTCAGCAGACAGCAAAGGATGTTGAATTAAAAACAAACACTGTTGTCACGGCTACAGATGATTAGAAGAATGACGCCCTTGTGGATGAGATTCGGGGGAAATTTGTCCAAATGTAACCGCAAGACCACATCAGGGAATATGGTGGCCGTTATTTGGATGGACGAATGATGAATGGGAAACAGCAGAGAGACAAGGAGAGCTGGATTTTGATCCAGCGAACATTATTTTGGCCCAATTTTGACTGAAAATATTTACGGTATATACATCATGACTTTGTATTGTTTCCGCCATGGCCTAAGGGTGTATGTCTGTCTCTATATTTACTCAGGTATGTGCTCAGGTATGCACTCACCTGAGCCATGCGTCACAAGGGGACATACCTGAAGAGATTCTTTCCTGTAAAACGAGCCATGAATAGCACTTCTCTGACATAATCCCATTCCTAAAAAAGACTAAAGACCAGGTACACAGCTGCCAGCTTTTTTAAGACAGCTGTACTGTTTCAGCTCATCAGAAAATAATAACAGTAAGTTCCACAATTAATAGATCATGTCCGACACAGATCTGTTAGTAATCAGACTATCTCCCAACGCCTTGCCTAATACCCTGGTAGCCTCTGCTGTTTGGGTTATTAGAGGTTTGTATTTACACAAAGCGCTAGTGTTGTGTCTTGCTGGCATCAGATTGGATTCTGACCGGAAAAGCCAGTGAGGAAATGACGCAACAGGTTGAAGTGAAACAAAGATAGAAGTTCCCACAAGGTTTACAGGAAGCAGAGTGACGACGCATACCTAAGCGATCCCGTAAATTACGCTGTGAAGTGAAGTGGTGCACACACGTCATCAGGCGGCGCTACCCTGACGTCCTATAGGCTGTTTGAAACGTCCAGACATACTCTTAATGAGCTGTAACGTCACACAAGGTTAGTGCATGTGATCGTGCCCCACTGGCAAGCTCATGGCCGCCGCTGTTAGTTGCTAACAGTGCGAATTTGTGTGTAACTGTTGAATGTACACTACACCCAAATTCTCAGACACAAAACTGAGGCGATAACCAGTGTCCTCAGTTGTTCTTAGGGCCCTGCATGAGAAGAAAAACAATAGTTTACAGAACAAGATAAAACAAGACTTTTCCAAATGTCACAATTTGCTTCACAATAAGCATTAAAGCATTTTCCGTCCTGGCAACGCTCTGGTCTTCAGACAACACAGTGCTCCGATGGATTGAGTCATTTTTTCATGTCGAGGCAAACTACTCCACGAAGAGGACAACATAAAAGATTCACATCTGCATTTCAATAGTACCTTGACATATTGTAGAGTTATTGCTGCTTGTGTGGGAGTGAGACAAGTTTCTTCTGGCCACCGACCTTCACCTCACAACACCCTGCTCAGCTGTTACACCATACGCACTGCCTCAGCTTGTCCTCACTACAGCTCATGTTTACGATAAACGCCTCAGAATCAGACATTCTGTCCCGCTCGGTTTAAAAACTGAAGATTAACTGAAGACGTGTATACAGTTCATGGCCCTGCACACACTTTTCTCACATCCTCTACTTATTGCATGTATCTTTTCCTCAAGAATGTAACAATGCATTCAGTGTTGCGCAGCCATGATCCGTACACATAACGACGGCCTGTATGGAGTGATGACGCCAAGGCTACAAGTACGGCCTGAATGTGACTAGTGCTGCGTCAGAGGATGTTTATGCAGCCTGAGATCAGTGAGGAAGACACGGTGTGTGTGTGTGTGTGTGTGTGTGTGTGTGCGTCCAGACGAGCGAGGAAGTAAAGAGCACCATCAGATGTACAGTGGATTGTGACGTCTTTCATCAGCTTCTGAAAACACTGCTTAGAGTCACGTTAAATGCTTAAACAAGAAGCAATTCCTGTGTCGAATTGTGTAGAAAATAATAACATGCCCTGGTAACGAAAAAAAAGTGTGTGACCCTTGGCTCAGGGACCGTGTGTGTGTGTGTGTGTGTGTGTGTGTGTGTGTGTGTGTGTGTGTGTG